CTCACGTGGCAGGTGGGCCCGGGAGAGCGCGTGGGGAGGGTCCTCTGATCCCCTTCTGGGCTGCAGTCCTCCATGGATGAGGCTCAGTGTCTGGTGGAGGAGCTGAGGAAATCCAAGGGTGAGGCCCAGGGATGCACAGGAAAGAAAGACAGTGGACCAGAGAGGGATGTTTCAGGAGCTGGGCAGGCTCAGGAGGTCTCCTGCTGAGCCAAAGCTGTTGGTGATTGGGTCAATGACAAATCTGTCAATCTGTTCTTCCAGTGCTTTTCCCATCCAGCTGTCCATCTTTTATTGATTAATCCACTTGTATATTCACTGATCAGTTCATTTATAATTCATTCACGGACAGTTTCATTCATTTATTTGGATTAATTCATTCATGAGTTGATGCTATTCACAAGAAGAGTTGAATGGACTGTTGGTCACTGATGACTTGGCTCATTCATTCATTCACAGGACACCCACACATTTTTTATTAACTGGGTTTCATTCCTTAAACCTTTTATCAACCATCTTCTTATTCATCCCACATCCAGCCACCCATCCATCCATCCATTCCCTCACTTATCCACTTAATGATGATTCATTTATCATCTCTCATTTATCATTCCACCTACCCCTTCATTTATTCCTTTGTTTTATCAGACATTCACTAATTTATCCATTCACATGGACATGGCCCCATAAATCCAACATTTATGTGATTGGTAAATAAAGCAATGAACCCAATGAATTGATAATTGATAATCGTTTCTTAATTGATTCTTTATTCCATCCATCTATCAGTTGATAAGCCGAATACACAATCCGTTCATTTGTTTGCTCATTTCGATATCAATCTTTTCATTCAAGAATTGATCTGTTTGACTGATTTATGCAATCATTTCTTTATCCACTTGCTCATAGATTAATCCATTGATCTATTCCACTGTGATTTTCCTGAGGATTGAGTGCAGTGTTCACCTGTAATGAACACACATGCACACAAATATTGGATCATTTTCTGTTCATCTTTGAGGGTGAAGTTTTGACAGGTTCTTAATATGGAGTTATTAACCTAAAATTCCTTGTGAAGTTGTGGTGAATGTGGGGTGTGGGTGTGCATGTGTGCTTGTGTGCATGCTGTGTGCCTGCAGGGTTTCTGTGCATATAGGAGACAGTTCATTAGATTCATTGAATTTGAAAGGGTTAGAATTCTAATTCTTCCTCTCATCACCCCAGCTGATTGCTCTGAAGTATATCAATGATGTAAGCTTTTGCCCTAGGATTTTCTTGGCTCACTGACCCACTGAAACAGTGTCGCTGGTGAAATGCTTATGTGAAAAGAGGCTCATGCTTCCCCTCTTTGGTGCAGAAAGGGTCCAAAAGGAGATTGAGCAGGTGATTGGCTCACACCACCCACCAGCCCTTGATGACCGCACCAAGATGCCTTACACGGAGGCCGTCATCCATGAGATTCAGAGATTCGCAGACCTCATTCCCGTTGGTGTGCCTCACATAGTCACCAAGGACACTTATTTTCGAGGGTTCATCATCCCCAAGGTGAGAGCAGCGGGCTCCATGGCTCTGTGTGGGCGTGCTCTGTTCTTTTAGCCCACAATCTCAACCCCTTGTGGGCTTCTTCATAGGGCCTCCTTGTTTCCATTTTTGTTTTGTGCTATCAATTTGTTAATTGTGTGTGAGAGCTAGGGAATGGCAATATTTAGAAAATGTTTTTACTACTGCATTATAGTTATACATAACAGTGGGGCTCATGATGACATGATCACTCACACATTGAATATAATTTGGTATAACTTGGTCACATGGTGATTCCATTGCCCTTTGCTTCCTTTTAACCTCTCCTCTTCCCTCCTCAGTTTCAATTCCTATACTCTACTGGTCTTCCTTATGTTTATTTATTGTTGTTGTTCTTTTTTTTACTTTGGTGCTTTATAGATATATATATAAAGGTGCAATTCAGTGTGGTATATTTGTGTACGTGCATAGCATAATTTTGTCAATCTGATTCTGCAGTTCCTCCCTTTTCAGTTCCTCCTCCCTTCCCTTCAATCTCCTTCCTCTCTCCACTGATCTGCTCTCTGTGTTCATGGGACATGCCCCCCCACTTATTTTCCTTCCTCTGCTCTAGCTTCTGCATATGAGAGAAAACATTCAACCCTTAACTTTCTGTTTCTGGCTTATTTCACTTAGCATGAGTGTTCTCCAGTTGCATCCATTTACCAGCAAATCACACAATTTCATTATTATTTATGCTAAATAAAACTTTATTGTGTATATATAAGATATTTTATTTATCCATTCATCTATTGATGAGCATCTGGGTTGGTTCCATAACATGGCTAGTGTGAATTATGCTGCTATAAGCGTTGATGCACCTGTGTCACTATAGCATGCTGATTTTAGTTCTGTTGAATAAATACTAAAGAGTGGGATAACTTGGTCACATGGTGATTCCATTCCTAGTCTTTTGAGGAATCTCCATATTGCTTTCCAAAATGGTTGTAGTTTTCAGTCCCACCACAATATATGAGCATACTTTCCTCCCACATCCTGGCCAGCATTTATTATTACTTGTATTCTTGATAAAATGGCACTGTCTCTTGATCTTTTAATCTTTCCTCAGAACACTGAAGTGTACCCCATCCTGAGCTCTGCTCTCCATGACCCGCATTACTTTGAAGAACCAGACACCTTCAACCCTGACCGCTTTCTGGATGCCAACGGGGCACTGAAGAAGAACGAAGCTTTTATCCCCTTCTCGGCAGGTAGGCTGGACCTGGGATCCCTTTGCAGACACCAGGGGCAGGTCCCATCTGCTCCTTGAGACACACAATGATAGGTCTTTGTTTTGTGAGCGCTCAGCATATTCCAGTTGCTTTACCTGTACTGTCCCATTGCATCTTCACTACCACCCTGCCAGGAGACTTGAGAAGTGACATTATGTCCCAAGGCTCGCCTTGATGAGCAGGACCTTGGGCAAATGTTGGGAAATCTCTAGACCTGAACAAAGTCACCTTCTTTAAAAAATGGAGCAACAACTAAAAACTAATGCAGCACTGGGTCCAGGGGACAAAAAATAATGCATCAAACAAACCACATAAAGACACAGATCCTACCCCAGGAAACTTGTAGTTCAGCAGCTGAGATAGACATTCATCAACCAGTCCCCAATAATCATCCAATTATATGATTTAATGCCCCTCCTGAGCCAAGAACTTCCAGACACAAAGTATACACTAACAGGGTCAAGTAATATCATTAATCAGGTATTGGAAGCACAAAATAGGAAATACTAATTTTGGTGGGTAGGTGAGGAAAAGCTCACCTGAGAAACTCGTTTTCAGGCAGAGGCCTGGTGGGTGAGTGTTGATCAGCTACTGAGAAAGAAGGTTCCAGGTGGAGGCAACAGCAGGGCAGAGCCAGGTGGCCCATGAGAGCAATTGTAAGAAGCGCTAGGTGTAGATTAGGAAAGGGGCTGAGGGTGAAGAGCTCAGATGGGTGGAGCCTCGGGGGCTGGAGAGGAGTTTGCTTGATGCCTGAGCACTGGGACTGGGGAAAGTCTTGTACACACTTGTCCCTATTCCCACTCTCTACTGTGGCTTGGTAAAAGAAAATTTTAGACAAATTTTGTAGAATTAATTTTAGCTAAGTAACACTTCATGAATTGACCACATCCTGCAGTGGTGAAGATTCAGAGAGCTCCACCCAGCTGCATGGGCAGGTAGTGTTGTAAACAGAAAAAGGAACCAAATAGCAGAAATAGGTGGGTTAGTCTGGCTCCCTGTGGCTGCCTTGGACAGATCTGAGCAGTTTGCAGCCTGCAATTGGCTGAAGTGCAGTGCTGGGATTGGCTGAACCTTGCTTACTTGTTCCAGGAATGTGCTCTCATGTTCCGTTGCCCTTTGGTTAATATGAAATTAGGGTGCAGTTTACTCAGTGGGGTTTAGATTAAACTATTTAACTTGAAAGCTCCACCCAAGGAAAACTCAACATCTAGGTTCCTCGTCTTTGGGGAGGAAGGAAGGCCCCAGAAACAAGTTCCTAATTATGAGTTTCATCAGTGACTTCAGCGGCCCAGACTCTGGCTCAGCCCCCAGTTCTGTAGAATGTGGTCTTCAGGGTCCTCGTTCTGTCTTCAGTGAGAGCAGGGAACACGTGAGATGGTGGGTGAAGGTCAGTTCCCCATCCAGTAGCCCCGGCCTAAGTTTAGGGAGAGGCAGAGACTTAGAGGAGTAAGGACTGAAACAGAGCTAAGCAACGGAGAAGTGATGGGGACTAGACAGAGAGAGATGGAGACAGGGAGATAGACAGTCTGTTAGAGACAGAGACTGAACCTGAGACCACAGAGAAAGGAGAGAGAGAGAAGTAGAAACAAAAAGGAGAGAAAGAGTAGCAGCAGTGGGAGGAGAAGAAGGCGGGGCAGTAGAGGAAGAAGAAGGAGAGAGACGCAATAAGAGACAGAAAAAAGAGACAGAAGTAGAGAGGTATATTTAGAGGGAGATGAAAAATATGATAGGGACATAGGTATAAATAGATGAGAGAGGTAGAATAGGCAAGGAATTTAGATGGAAGAAAGTGAAAAGAGAAGAAAATATAAAAATGAACATAGAACAGTGCGTGTCATGTGTATTTAATGACAAGGATAGACTTTGCCTGAACAGAAAGAGGCACTGAGCCAAAGAATGTGAGCGTCAAGGAGATATCAGAAGGTGTCCAAACAGAAAGACAGTTCTAGGAATGGGGAGGGTGTGCTGAGTGGGAGACAACAGGCCTTAGCTTGTTCTGGAAAAATCTGGGTCACTGAACCAGTTTCAGCAGAACCTGCCCAGAGATCTGCCCTGAGTACTTCTAAGGTCCCATATCCTGACATCTGGAAATGCCAAAAGAATACAGACCCCTTGTCAGATGCATCCACACAGGCACAACTTTGCAGCAGCTTGAAAGGTGCAGTGGATGCCTGGAATCCCTTCCTCCACTGGGCCTTCCCAGGGCGGTCAGTTTGCAGATGAGGAAGCACTGAAGTACCTGGAGGCGCTCTGTGTCTCTGCGTGACTTTTCAGGCCATCTCTGTCCTCCTTCCTCTCTAAGCCTGTGGTCTGTAAACAAGAGGGGGTTTTCAAAACCCTTCTGAGTATCCATCTGAGGGAAGCCATAGAAACCCTGCTCATGGGCATTGGTCCCATTCACAACTTTATGAATCGTTTATTGGGAGGAATTCTCAAAGCTGATGGATTTCAGGTTGAAACCAGAAGATGACACAGAAACAGATGTAACACAGAGTGCCAGAAACACACACAGCCATGTTCCTAGATGCAAAACTACTACTCTAGGATTCTTAATAGGAGCCACATGTTAGTCTAAGAGTTTCTACAAATACTAACTTTACCTGATAGGTACTGTTCTCATATGAGAAGTGAAAAACACTGAAAAACATCAGAAATGTGTGCTCACTGAACCCACATACCTTGACACACCCAAGCACAGATTAGTCCTTATCTCTATGGGGCCACCGAACTTTTGGTAATCAAACAAAAACTACATTTTCTTTCCAACAAAATGAACATGGGACAAGATCTGTACCTCATTTCAGATTTGGGAACTCCCTAAGAGTCCACACTGAATATCAGGTTAAAGGTCAAGCCTGTGGAAATCCATTGCAGTGCACATGTGCGTGGGCTTTGGGGTTTGGCGGGTACACTGGTCCTGAGCCCACACAATGATCCTTTGTGCCCACAGGGAAGCGCATCTGTCTTGGTGAAGGCATCACTCGCAATGAACTGTTCTTCTTCTTCACCACCATCCTCCAGAACTTCTCTATAGTCAGCCCGGTGGCTCCTGAGGACATCGACCTCACTCCTAAGGAGAGTGGTGTGGGCAGAGTAGCCCCAACATACCGGATCCGCTTCCTTCCTCACTGAATGGGCTGATGGAAGAGGGCTGAAAGATTCCAGGGTTATTAAGTCCCCCTTTTTCTTTGAAAAAGTAGGTAATGAGTAGTTATCTTGAGCTCCTGGATTCTTGTTCTGAGGGCATAATATCCTGTTGTCACAAAAGAGGACTAATAGAAAAGAGAGCAGTCCAATAATATACCATGCAGAACATTTCAGTATGTTTCCAGGATTAAAGCCATTTAATTCTCAAAGTATTTGATTAGCTAAAGAGATAGGATCCAAAAGATCAATCTTATTGTTTTGTATATCTTGAATATGATGATGTAACTTCAAAAGATCCAAGCTGTTATTATTTTTCTGCCAAATACCCAAATAGATCATTTTTAACCTTCTCCCAATCCCATTGGGAAGCATTGTATTTGGCAGCAGTAACACACACATATTTATAATCGGCATGACATTAGAGCCTTTCCTTGAACTTTAAAGGGAAAGCTCATTACCAATATTTATGATAGTAGCTTCTAAAGCATTTAGTTTACTTTAAATCCTTTCATCAATGTTTATCTGATTCTGAAGAGCTTTAGAAGTGTTCTGCGCTAAATTATTAAGAAAATCTGCATGCTGAATATTTTGAGATATGGCCACTGAAACTGTGACTGCAGAAGCAATAAATGAAACTTAGGCAGCTTCTTCAAGTATTGTGAGCCAGGAGCTGGCTTAGGTCTAGTCAACTGGGCATGTATTTGCTGTAAGACTTGAGAACCAGCATCAGCGTACCATGGCTCTGAAATATTAGCTGGTAATAAGACAAAAGAGGGCTGGTGAAGTATAAGTGTTCCCTTCCCTCTATTATATCTAGTGATACAATTAGGTAAATTACATTCATTACAGGATACAAGATATTTATTATTCTTTCTTTTGACTTTCACGTTTCCAGTAATTAAAATGTAAGGAGATTGGACACAAGCTCTCAGGCCATAACAAGAACCTTCCCTACAATTTCTGCCTACAAAGACAGGTGAAATCTTGTTAGTAAAATGTACAAATTCTCAGGCTTCGATAAACATCTTTCTCAATGCCACCTTCGATGAAGGTGTTACTAACAAATTCTCCAGAGGTCATGGCAGCACCCTTGTGTAATTGTCTTTTATCAATTATAGGAGACCAGTCTAAAATATACCCATTATTTCTAGACAATTTATGCTGTACTGGCAAGGTATTTACATAATCCATCTATTTAGGGAATGAGCCAAATTCTATTGCAGAATGGTAGGACAGTGAGGTATTGGTGGACGTTCTCCTGAAATGACTGGCTTGTTCTGAGAAAGTCCCATTTTAATAACTGTTCCAATATATGGCTTTGAGTCCCCAGGTACAGTGTGATTCGCTTGATTAGGCCCCCCATTTGCTGTCTTTTCTTGAAAGGACACCTTTAGGCAGCCAGTATGTTTATCACAGGGCCAACACATAGGTAACTGAACACTATAGCCAGAATAATTAAATTCAGTCACATGGATGGGAGCAATATGGGTGCTGTAAATCTTCCCATCGTATATGAGTCATTAGTAAATACTGGGATGGATTCTCCAGTTCACACCACTGGGTGTACTAAAGGTGGATCTTGAAAATATGTCCAATAAGTTTTTCCATGTGTCCATTTTCCTGGCAGCTCAACAGAGCTAGCATGGCTACAAGCGTCATAGCTGGAGACTTAGTTCTTTCTTGCTGCTGAATCATCTGCTCAGCCTGCAGCATCAGATTCTTCATCTGCTTCCATGAAGACCACTGTTGGGTCTCTTTGGGCCATCTTCTTTCCCCACTTCCTTTGTAGCTTCCTCTTCTTTCTGGGAACCAGGGCTGACATCTCTGGATCGATCCTTAGTTGTTTGAACCTTGGCTCTAGGTCCTCCATGTCTGATGGTGTGTTCAGTTACCCAAGTAAGACAAAATGCACCTTCTGGGGAAGTACAAGCATGACCTCTACCCCACATTATCACTGAATATGGTTCTTTCCATTGACTTGTTTGTAAATCTCTCCATCAAATTCAGCCTAAAGGACCTGTTGCAGTGGAAGATGTGTCACTCTGCTGCAGTGTGACCTTTAGAGTCACAATTTAGAAAATTTAAAATGAACAATGGATAGACAATAGGGAGGGGAGGGGAGGGGAGGGGGGATAGGGAGGGCAGCAGAATACAACTGACACTAGGATTGCTGTATGTATACACATGGATGTATAACCAATGTGATCCTGCAATCTGTACATGTGGAAAAATGAGAATTCATACCCTATTTGAATCAAATGTATGATATGTCAAGATCATTGTATCGTCTTGAACAACTAATAAAAAAAAAAAAGGAATTTTTTTAAAAAGTCACATAGACTGGGAATAAATATTTGCAAAACTTAAAAAAAAAAGATTATTTTGGGGGGTCTTATTTCCCCCTTACTGTTGTTGTAATTGTAGCTTAATAGATAAACGAGCTCGTTCTTCAATAGCTTGACCTTGAGGATTGTAAGGCATACCTGTTTTATGATCAATACAAAATTCTTGGCAAAATTGTTGAAAAGAAGAGCTTACATAAGCTGGTGCATTATCAGTTTTAATCTGCAAAGACATCCTAATACTGCAAAAGCAGCTAGGCAATGAGAAATAACATGCTGAGTAATTTTTTTTTAAATGGGCTGTGTGGCAAAGATAAATCTAGAATAAGTATCCACAATTACATGTACATAACATTGTTTGCCAAATTGAGGAATGTGAGTTACATCCATTTGCCATAATTGATTTGGTGGTAACCTGCGGGGATTAACCCCAGATGCTAAAGATAGAATGTGTATAACATATTGTGGGCATTGACATACAATTGACATGCTTGCTCTCTAGTAATATTAAATTTGTTCTACAAACTAGAAGCATTTTGATGCTGCAAAGAATGAGAAGCTTGTGCAGTCATACAAAGACATTTGCTGACAAACAGCACCAAGTTTATCAATCTTATCATTACCTGATGTTAAAGGCCCTGGCAGATTAGTGTGGGCCTGTATATGGCCTATAAAACATGGATGTTGATGCATCTGAATTTTCTTCTGTAAGGTATGGAACAGGTTAAATAACTCTTGTGATGGTGTGTATGTACCCAATAGTTGATGTTTCAATATTTTTTGTAACTCCACCTGCATATAAGCTATCAAAATAAATATTAATTGGCTCATTTGCAAAATGAGTTAAAGCACAAATGAGAGCCTGAAATTTTGTTCATTGTGCAGAAGTATATGATGTTTGTATTACCTCTGTATGAGCATGGCTATAAAAACCCGATTTACCTGAGCTTGACACGTCAGTGAACACTGTTAGTGCCCCAACTATTGAATGAGCATGCCCAATTTTTGGAAAAATAAATGCAGTTACCAAGGCGAATTGGATAATTTTATCATGAGGATAATGACTTTCTATTTGGCCAGGAAAATTAGCAAAAGCTACTTGCCAGTATTAGAAGTTTGGAAAAGCCAGCCATTCTGTTGAGTAGACAAGAGAACAACAAGGACACTAGGTTCTGATCCAACCAAGTGTAAAACTCATGTTCTCCCTTTAATAACTAACTGAGCAACAAAATCATGGAAAGGATTAATGACTTTTGAGGAGAATGAGCTCAAGTGGAGCCATTCAATAACTCCCAATGATGGCCATATTGCTCCTATAGGAGCACGAGCAGTGGGAAACATTTACAGATACATAGGCTCTTTGGGGTTAATCCTAGTAAGCTGGGCATTTTTAATAGCAAATTCAGCCTTCCTTATGGCCATCCTTGCTTCTGTTGTGAGCTGACGAGAAGTTGGAGAAGGGTCCCTCTGTAAGATCTGAAACAAAGGAGTCAAATCTGCAGTAGTTAGTTTTAAAGATGGTCTCAGCCAATTAATATCACTAATAATTTTTGAAAATCACCAAGGGTGTGTAACCCTTTAACTCTTATTTGTAAGTTTTGAGGACTAACTGTGTGTCCTTCTATTATATTACCTACATACCGAAAAAGAGATGTCTTGCACATTTTCAGATGCTATGCACAAACCCATTGCAAGAAGTGAAGTTTCTAACTGGGCAAAAACTTTTAAAAGTACATCTCGACTAGCATAAGCTAAAAGTATGTCATCCATAAAATGAATAATATGTACATCAGGGAATTTTCCCCTTACAGGCGTGATAGCTTGTGCCACAAAATTTTGACAAAGGGTTGGACTATTACACATACCCTGAGGTAAAACCTTCCCACAATATCTCTTAACTGGTTTCTTAAAAATTATTGCTGGAACACTAAAAGCAAATTTTTTTATAACCATCTGGATGCAAGGGTATAGTGAAAAAACAATCTTAGATCTACCACCATTAGGTGATAATCAAAAGGAATTGCTGTAAGAGAAGGAAGCCCTGGCTGCAATTCTCTCATGGGCTCAATGATGCAATTAATTGCCCTAAGATTTTGAAGCAACCTCCCTTTAGCAGACTTCTTAATCACAAAAACTGGTGTATTCCAGGGACTAAAAGTAGTTCAATATGGCCAGCCTGAAGTTGTTCCTGGACCAAAGTATTGACTATTTTAAGTTTCTCCCCTGTTACGGACCACTAACAAACCCATCTGGCTCTTCTGTAATCCAGTTAATCTTTTCTGCTGTGTTTTGGGCTGGGAAGGAAGTCAGTGCAAAGCAGCCAAAAAGTTTGATTGGGTGAATTAACTTGTCTTCTCTGAGAAGACTGAGTTATAGGTAAATACCTTTATTGTGAATTCCCTTCAAATTTCATAAGAGAAATAAATCATTGATTAAATATCTGAGGTGACAAAAAAGATTTTAGAGTTATTAGTAACAAACCCAGCCTGCTCAGAATATCTTGACCCCATAAATAAAAGCATCCAAAACAGGTTTAACGATTCCAGAATTACCATCTTTATCCTCCCACTGAAGCTACTGAGCACTCTGAGTAGGTTGATAAATTTGGGCAATTCCTTCTAAGCTGGCAGATGCAAAATGTAAGGGCCACTTCTTTGGCCAGTACCTGCTAGAAATGACTGATTTGTTTGCTCCTGTATCAAGAACACTTGTGAAATTTTTATGGTTGATTTTAAGATCCAATAGAGGGCGCTCCTGTCTAATCAAGTGAGTCCAATAAGCCTGGTTGGGCGGGGGTGGGGTAAGGGACCTGGAAGTTGGCTCTTCTTCCTGTGTAAACTGTAACGCCTCTACTGTTTGGCGGCCTGGGCAGGTCCCACCTCCAGTTTCCCAGCAGCGGTGGGCTGGCCACTTCCACTGCCTGCTGGGGCCACCCCATGCCAAGTGGTCACCTCTCCAATAGCACCTGAGCCAACCAGGTGAATCTCCCCAGTTGCATGGCGATCCATAGTCCCTATTCATGCGCCCAGTCTTTCCACAGTTACAACATTGCCTCTGAGAATTGCATCTCCTAGACTGAGGCTGTAAAGCTTTTTTCAAAGCTGTGGTGATCATTAAGCCTTGCAATTGCATCGGACCCACATGAGAACAAAAGCGGATCAATTCAGAAAGAGTTCCTTTTTTTACGATGTGGTCAGATAATTTCCTGCCAGACTTTATTGGCATTTTCGAAAGCTCCCTGCTTGATTAGGACCTCAGAAGCATTTGTCTCACCAATCATCTGGTTAGCTGCTTGATAAAGGCTGCTACAAAATCTGAGATTTTCTCCTTTGGTCCTTGCTGGATCTGACTGAAATCTAAGATTTTTTTCACCTTTATTGGGTAATTTTCTCCAGGCCTGTCTGGCATATATATTAATTTGATTATAAATTGGTAAATCATAATTTAACTGTTGCTCTATATCAGCAAATTGTCCTGTTCCTGTTAACATTTATACGGGAATATCAACACTGTGCTTGTGGTTTCTTTTGGCTTGCTCAGTACAAAAATCTATCCAATTTGGGCTCCACAGTAAAAAATCAACTGCAGACAGACACGCTCTGGCTAGTGTGATCCAGTTGTGAGGTGGTAATGCCCCACTACAGATTAATTCAATCAGGCTCTGAACAAAAGGGGAATTTGGGCCATATGTGGTGTGGGGAGCCATTCTCACACGTGACTGGGCAACTCGCGGTTTGGGTCTGAGGCGCTCTGGCTAAACTGTGTCGGAGCTTTCCCGGCCCTCTCCTGGTGCGAGAGCCTGTCCGTGTGGGGGTGTGACTTGACCACTGACCCTGGGGCCAATCACTGACCCTGACCTTGGAGTGCGGCCCCCCTCAACCTTCATTGGATGGAATTCTCCCCTGAATTTCTTGTTCCCCAATAAAAGGCTACTCCCTGGCGTGCTCCCTCTCTCTCTCTCCTGCTAGCCCTGAGTAATCCTTGCTGCCCTACCGGGTGGTTCGAGGTGGGAACTAGAGGGGGAGCCGTCTGGGACCTGGTCATAGAAAAAGGTAACTGAGTCTGTGTGTTTTATTTCGATCTCACTATTTAACTTTTATGCCAAGAACCTCTTTAATGAAACCAGTGTGCTGGTCGCATGGTGGAAATGTGGATCAAGCAGACTTTAGCTCTTTCATTCTGTGGTTTAAAAGGAACCACAGCATGAATTTAAACACGCTGGTTTTGTTTGTCTATCTGCTCAAAAATTGGAGCAAGCTGGAACCCTGTGATGTCCTTTTCCTCTCCCAATTTTCCTCTCCTAAGACCTACGTTGGAGTGGGGAAAGTTTGGTTACAGCTGTGTCGGGAAAGCAAACCTTTCTCCCAGAGGGAACTGGCTGTATGTGAATGGTGGAGGCAGGACCACCCAAACGTGGATTATTAAAACCCATTTTTAGTTCACTTTCTGCATTGGACTGGGAACCCTCAGAATTCCACACAGCACCTCGAGGTCCCCCACACCGCGGACGCGGTCTTGCCTGATGTGGTCCTCCCGCTGCTGTTCCTGGCTGCCTGTCCCTGCGGCTTCTCTCTGGGGAGGGGCCTCCTCAGCCCACGTGTCCTGAAGCAGCAGGATTCCACGGTGGCACCTTGGATCCCTGGATATTTATTTGAAATCTTCTGAAATCAAACCAACATCCAAAGCCTGACCTCCCATGTCAGGAGGGGACCCCACCATTTTGCCTGTGGCTTATTGATGGTCATGTCCCCAGGCGCCTTATCAGAGGGACTGCTAGCTCTGTGAAGGGACAGCCTGCCGTCTCCTTCACTGCTGTCCTCGGAGTGCCCCAGCAGTGTGCGGCCTCTGATGGGCCTTCAAAATACCTGGTGGGGTGTGCGTGGATAAAAGACAACATCAGCCACCCTCCACCCAACCCAAACGCAACCAGACCTCTGCCATCAGACCATGTCACCTCTGTGGGTCACTGTCTTTTAATACCCAGAATAACTTCCTGCCACCAAAGGGCTCAGGGAGGCCCCCATTCTGCCTGCCAGGTCTCTTCACCTCTCATGCTGGATGCCATCCCCTGATGAAAATGGCTGAGAGCCACTTAGCAATGGAACCACTTGAAACCAGCCTGGACAGATCCCACCCATTGGCATGTCCTTGAGGGACATGTGACACATTCCAGGGCTTTCCTCATGGAGCTGTCTCCTGGCAGCTAGTGGCCAATGGGAAGCTGGCTTTGGGACTCAACACTGAGAACTAAACATGTGACCTGCACAGTGCCTGCCTTCCCTGGGCTCCCTGTAGCCTCTGAAGAGTCACTTGGAGCTCTGCCAAGGTAGATTCCTGGCATAGCCTCCTCCACCAACCATAGAAATTAAATAAACAAAATAGTCTGTCTTGTAAGGGGAGCAGAAGAGCAGACAGCAGGCATAGAGGGACAATGATTCTGTCCAGCTTCCTACTCTTCATTGTCCTCATTACCCTCTTTTTTCTCTGGGTCTGGGGCTGCCCCACCTCCAAGGGCCACCTGCCTCCTGGACCCTGGCCTCTACCCTTCCTGGGAAACATTTTGCAAATAGACCTTAAAGGCTTTCTCAAGTCCTTCCAGGCGGTGAGATGGAAGGGAGAAGGAGGAACAAGGGAGGGAGTGGGTGGAGGGGAAGCCGCTCAAGGCAGCAAGATAGTTGAGGGTGTAACTTGGGGTGGAAGTCTCCAGACCAGCTTGGGAATTCTCTTTCAGCCATGATCTGGCCCCATAGGCAGGCAGAGAAGCTTCTGGAGTCCGTAGGAGAGAATGCATGAAGGGAGGATAGACCAGAGGGGGACATTCTGATAGACTTGGGACTTTTGAGTAGTGGTCCTGCAGTGGGGACAGGAGAAGTCCTGGAGACTCAGTGTGGGGAGTATGATTCATAAAATTCAGAGCTGAGAAAATTATTGAGAAAGCGGAGACAAAGACCACCTGGGGAAGGACATGGTGTGAGACTTGGATGAAGCTACAGAGGTCAAGTTTGGGTTCTTCCCTGACAGGGTTGCAGGAAGCAGGGCTCAGGCTCCATTAGAAGAAGTGGTCCATGTGTAAGACCAGAAGATCCTTCTCTTGGGTTCAATAGTGAGATCTGGACCCTGTGTCCACAGCTGTGGGAGAAATATGGGGACGTCTTCACAGTGCACCTGGGACCCCGGCCAGCTGTCATCCTGTGTGGATATGAGGCCATGAGGGAGGCTCTGGTGGATCCAGCTGAGGCTTTTTCTGGCCAAGGGCTCATTGCCATCACTGACTCCATCTTCCAGGGAACTGGTGAATGGGGCACAGGGTGGGGACTGGGGTGACCTGGGAATGCATAAGTCCTCCCAACCTTCCTTCTGTGCCCCATGGTGTGAGTTTTGCCAATGGAAAGTCTTGGAAGGTCCTCCGGCGGTTCTGTCTGACCATCATGAAGGACTTTGGGATGGGGAAGAGGAGCACTGAGGAGAGAATCAAGGAGGAAGCTCAAAATTTGGTGGAGGAGCTGTGAAAATCCCAGGGTGAGTCCCTGGGCATGGGTCCCATAGGGGCAGGGAAATGTGGATGCAGAAAGAGAGGAGAGAGGAAGAGAGTGAGAAAAGTTCAGGATACAAAGAAACATCTAGAAATAGAAATTTCAAGGAAAAAACTTAGAAATGAAAGAGCCAAAGATATAAATAGAGCCAGGGTAGACATAAAACATTAGTGAGGCAATGGAGAGGGATATATGAAAGACTGGGACAGAAAGAGAACCGACAGTCTCAGAGAAAGAATCAGAGACAAGAAAGACAGAGAGACACAGATACACAAAGAAACACAGACCAAGAGAGAAACCAAAAGAATAAGAGACAGAGAGAGGAAGATGTACAGAGAGAAAAGCTTAGACTCAAAGGCCAAGTGATAGATGGACTGACTGTCCAAGGGACAGAGAAACCAACCTCACTGTGAAGATGTTGCCTCTTTAACTCCGTCTCGGCCAACATCATCTGCGCCATTGTCTTTGGTGAACATTTTCATTACCAAGACCCCAAGTTCCTATGTCTGCTGAGTTTACTGAATGAAACCTTCACCATCCTCAGCTCCTTTTACAGCCAGGTGAGGTCAAAGATTCCAGGATGGGCCAGAATCTGAGTAGATGGATCCTAGGATGGGACCGGGTTCTCCCTTTCCAGAGCTCAGAAGCAAGAAGGCTGGGTGGTTTCGGGTATCTGAAGGGGAAGGAGAGGAGCTTACTTTAATCTCTCCCTGCTGCTAACAGGCCAACAGGGTCCCTTCTAGCATCTGTGGTGCCTCTGTAATAAGAATTTGAAAATGGCACCCCTTCCTCGAGCAAAAACACTGTTTAAATTCATTTACTATGGCACAGCCCAGGAAGCTCTGCCCTGGGGAGATTTCCAGGTCCTGGCTTTGGGCACACATGCAGTCTTGCTTTACCTTCTCACACACACTCCGGTCCTTGGACTCCCAGGTAATCACCGCCACCAGCCCTGCACACACTTTACCCCCTACACTCTCCAGGAGAGGTGATAAGTCAGGTTGGGGGTAGGAATTAGGTGTGGGTGGTGAGAGATCCCAGCTACATAGAAAGCTGAAGCAGGAGGATTACTAGTCAGTCTCAGCAACTTAGCAAGACCCTGTCTCAAAATAAAAAAATAAAATGGGCCGGGGCTGTAGCTCAATGGTAAGTGCCCCTTGGTTCAATCTCCTGTATATACTCCCCCTCCCCCAAAGTGATTTGGGTGTGGCCCTGTGTGCGCACACACACACATGTGTATGTATGATGTGTTCCCGCATGCTCAACTGGGAAACACATTCCCCCTTTCCATGAGCTTGGCTTTAGAATGTCCTAGTGTTGCGGAAGGCACAACTTCAAGGCTGCCAGTGGATGCCCAGGGCCCCAGCACCAGCCTATAGAGAGCACAACAGGTTCTTGGAGTTTCTTTTCTCACTTTAGGTGTTTGAACTCCTCTCCAGAATCCTGAAGCATTTGCCTGGCCCCCATACTCGTATGTGCAGAATCATTCAAGAACTAAAAGATTTTATCACTGAGAACATTGAGGGGCACCGAGAAACCTTGGACCCCCATGCCCCCCAGGACTTCATTGAATCCTTTCTGCTCCACATGGACAAGGCAAGGCCAGCCTGGATTGGGGCTGGGTGGAAATGAGAGTGTGGGGATCCTACTGACGCTGAGCTGGTAGTTTGTGCGTTAAGTATTGGATACTTCCTTACCTTGTTAATTGAGCCACTGGCATCACCTCCACGCCCCCAACCCAGTTCTTTGTCAGCCTTCCCAACAATGACTTCTGAGACTTCTAACTGAAGAGTTATTGGGCTCAGGACCCCACTCCCTCCCCTTCCTCTCATTCTAATTGGTCAGAGGCCCTCCTCTGTGTTCTTATTGGCCTGGGTTCATGTCCATTCTCACTGCTCTGGCAAATGTCATACAAGGTGTTAAGTAGTTTAATTATAATCCCTGGAGCGACATCTGCAACCACCAATCAGGAAGCAAAGATACCCGAGAACAGAGACCAATCACAAAGCTGCAGCAATAATTAGGCAATGGTGCTTACTGAGTGTTTACAATCATAATATTAAAAACCCCTTGCAATGAAGTGAGGAACAGAGAGGTCATGTTTTTTTGTCCCAGAATAAAAAAAAAAAAGAGGAAATGGCAGGACCTGAGTTTAAACCCAGGAATTCTGGCCTCAAAGCTATGCTGTTGCTACTTTGTAGACAGACCTTGAATACAGGAAAGAGGAAATAAGAAAACCTGGTATAGGGCAACCTCAGGGATGGAGGGTAAAAGACCCAGAAACTGGAAGTTTATGCAAGGAGAGATGTTAAGGATTATCAACCTTCACCGACAGGGGCAATTTGTTCCTGAGAGTGAGTTCCACCATAAGAACCTCGTGCACATGGTGCTCTTCCTGTTCTTCGCTGGAACAGAGACCTCCAGCACCACCCTCCACTATGGACTCTTATTGCTTCTGAAGAACCCAGATGTCCTGGGTGAGCAGGTCCTCTCTATTGGGGGAGGAGGGGAGGGCGGTCCAGGATGGCTCTACCTAAGGTGGAAGGTGGTTGGTTAGTGGGTAAAAACAGATTTCAATTCTGATGAGTCAGGAAAAATAAAAGAATCCACCCCAAGCCAGATGTAACACTTATAATAAATTGTAGCCACTGAAAGCACTTTGAAGTTGACAAGGTGCTTTACAGGTGACAAAATATTTTCATTCAAATGTAGTTTAAAAGTTACTTTTGTGTTTTATGACTTGTTTTGCAATTTGCAAAAGAGGTTTGCAAAGCATGCGCAGGTCACAAAGCATTACCTTTTTGCAAAGCACTTTGCACTCTGCAAAAATCATGTGTCTCTCGAAAGAAAACCCTGAGGTTCACAAGCAACTTGACAATTTGGAGTATATTGCTGATTTATGATGAATTTAAAAGCTTTTTGATGCTTGTGCTGATGGTCTGCAGAGCAGACTTGGAGAAACTCTCATAGAATCAAAACTGCTTCCCCAGAATGGGAAAGTGACTTACCCAAGATCACAGAAAGAGTCAATGAGAGAAAAAGATATGACATTCATTCCAGACACAACTCATTCTCAGTAAAAGAAGAAGAAAAAGGAGGGTGTGACCTTAAGTGTTGAATTAATTTCCACTCAACCAATGTCTCCTAATTAGAATGGAAGAATTAGACAGGAATTATCCCTAAAGGAGGCATTGACTTTCTTTTCTGATGCTTTCTTTGAGAAGGAGTGATGATACCTTAAGGAACAGTCCTCTCCTCCCCCAGCCTGAGGCCACTCTTCAGGTGCCTTTGTTGACCCATTTGTTGCGGTTTTCACTGATGTGGCTCCTCCCACACCCTCTCCATTTCAGAGAAAGTCCAGGCAGAGATTGACAGGGTGATTGGCCAACACCGTCTTCCTGCCCTTGAGGATCGAGCAAAAATGCCTTATACGGATGCTGTCATCCATGAGATCCAGAGATACAGTGACCTCATCCCACTTGGTATTCCACACTCTGTCATTCAGGACACCAACTTCCAAGGATATCTTCTCCCTAAGGTGAGACCTGCAGGGCCACAGAATCATGGATGGAGGGTGCCTGCTTATGATAGTTGTATAGTCTTATGATAGTTCATGTCTCTGGTCTCTGGGCTATATGGAAGATTTTTATTTCCATATTGTTATGGGGTGATAGAGATTTTGGATATATAGAAAAGTCCTCTCCTTTCCATTCTTTCTTCTTATTTTTTTTACTTTTATTAGATGTTAGAGTTTCTTTTGCTCAAGAAGTAACATATATGTATTGAAATTTGTTCTGATGGAGCTGTCTTTCCTTTCCTCATCTCCCCTAACTTCCTCTTTCATGAGAAGGTGCTGACAGTTTGACATTTTGGCTTCCACACTGCCTTTAAGCTCATATAATCATATACACCATATGTTGACATATACATGAGGTCATACCATGCTATCTCTATCCTTTTGCAGCTGCGTGGACAGTGTGGTATATACTTATGTTCACACCAACACATTTTGCTTTGATTTTTATTTTATGTGTTGGTGAGGATTCCTTTTTATAATCTCATAGTTACACATCCTTAGGTCAGTGCCAGTGGTTCCAACTCATTCCATTCTCCCATGGTGCCGTATGTTCCCGAGTTGGAAGTATTTAGAGATGATGTTCACAATATCACACAACCCTAATCCCCAACTCATCAGATCGGATTCTGGTTCCAGTGATGGTGTACAGTGCTTGGCAGTTTCAGCAAAGCCAGATGGGAACATGTGGTTGATGGATCATGGGGAAGTCCAAAGGGTCTTAGGGGAAGAGGGATCAGAGTGGTCAGTAGGGATATCCAGAAGGCCCAGGACACAACTATTAATGAAACAGGGCAGAATTATTTCAGTAATTTAGCCTCCAACTGCAGAGCCTTATTGTGGGTAAAGCTTGTTGTCAACTGTGGATGTACAGTCATTGATTCGGTTATACCTTATTGATGGCCATTTGGCTCTCTTGAATTTGATACCCTCTCAGAACACTACTGTGTATCCTGTCATGAGCACTGTCCTCCATGAGCCACGCCACTTTGAGAAGCCAGACACATTCTACCCTGGACACTTCCTGGATGCCAAGGGCAACTTTAGGAAACAGGAAGCCTTTATTCCTTTTTCCATGGGTGAGCTTCTCCCTTCTCACTAATGAGACTGTTGTGTGTGATTTTTCTCCTTTTGTCCATATTAAGCACTGGGTGGAAAAGATGAGGATTTTGAAGGGAGAAGGGGAATGATGGAAGAGAAAGGCACAGACTAAGTTGATGGTGGAGATAAAGGTAAAAAAAAAAAAAACCTCAAGATGCACACACATGCATAAGCACAGGAAAACCAAACAAATGAATGACCTGTCATGGAGCACCTGTTATGAATCAGGAATCAGGAAAGGCATTTTCATTTTTTCCCAATTTTTATACAGACAAGAAAGTAGTTAAGATGAAGATGAAAACCACCTGTGATTGACCAACAAAAACATACTTGTTGGTATTACAGAAGGTGTCCAAATTACACATATTTGCACATATGAAGTTAGGCGATGGAGAGCTAGTAGCTAGCTAGCTGGATAATAGGTAGATACGTGAACAAAAGATTTAAAGAAAATAAGGAGGTGGAAAGGATGTGACGAGACAGAAAATGTATTGAGTTCTTTTTTTGTTAGTCAGTGGTTGAAATCTACACCCAAGACTAGAGTGAGGGACAGCAGGAACTTAGGCCACAAAATTTAAGGAGTGTTCATGTTCAATCATGTGAAGATCCCTTTTCAATGGCTTATCCACTAATTTAACTTTAAGCAACTGGCTTGAAATTTATCATATACTCAAACTTTAAAATCCCTTAAGCCTATTTCTGTTATATGGATATTAGTGCACAGTCATGCTGATCCACTGCCTTGCCTGTCTTTTCTAGCTGTACCATCCATATTGTGCAAATCATCGTGCTTTACAGTGTTTTAATATTTCACAGGGCTTGGTCCTCCTCCATCACTCTGGTTTTTCCATCTCCTATGGGTCTTCTAACATGTTTTTTTTTCTTCCAACTACACTCTAGTATTATTTTGTGAAGGTCCCCCCCAAACCCACAGTGATTTTGTGAGGATTAACATAAATTTGTAGATGAATTGGGATGCCTTTGGAATTTGGAAACTTCACATTATGAAGTATCTTAGACAAAATAGTGTGAGTCTCCATCCAGTCAGCCCTTATGTCACTTAAGTATATCATTTGCACTTTTTATTTTTTTTAAGTCTGAGTTTTTCACATTTCTTTCTAAATTTATGCCTCCATTTAAATCTCCATGGTAGAAGGTTTTGGTATTGCTCATAAAACCTTTTCTTATGGTATTTTAAGTTGCTTTAAGTAGAATATCTGAAAGCCATGGATTTGTATATATTTCTGCTGCAATAAGACAGTTTCCTAACATGTTTATCACTAATAGCTTTTCATAGATTTTCTTGGGCTTTCCAGATCATAATATCTGCAAGTGATATTTTGATCTAATCTTTTCTTACATTAAATCCATATATTGTGTTTTCCCTAACATCATGGACTAGTACTTGTCTGATTCCTAACTTTAAGTAAATAAAATAAAATAAAATAAAATAAAAAGATGGCATGGTGGTGCACACCTGTAATCCCAGCAGCTCAGGAGACTGAGGCAGGAGGATTGTGCGTTCAAAGCCAGCCTCAGCAACTTAGCAAGGTTTAGATACAGTGAGACCCTGTATCTAAATTAAATACAAAAAAGGGCTGGAGATGTGGCTCAGTGGTTGAGTGCCCCTGAGGTCAATCCCCAGTACCAAAAAAATAAGTAAGTAAATAAAAATTTAAAAAATCAGTTTTCTCTATTAAGCTTACTGCTGGCCATGGTCTTTTCCACACATTTTATGATTATGCTATCATATTTCTGTTATAAATTTATCTCAGTTTTAAATCAAATTAAGGAAAGATCTCCCTCTCTTTTTCACAAAGGGTTTTTTTTAATTGTTGTTGTTGTTGTTTTGTTTTTTAGCTTTTAATCAGGATTTGGTGTTGAGTATTCTCAAGTATATCCTCAACTCCTGTCAAGATGACCAAACTGTTGTTTTCTTTGATCTATTAAGAAATAGATGTGTTACAGATGAATCATATGTTCCTCTGTAAAACTGGAATCAGAGACGCCCAGGAGAGCAGGGGGTTTGCCCAAGGCCCAGTGGGAAGCCATGGCCTATGTCAGTCAGGGGAGCTACTCTGTGATCGACAACCTGAACATCTCCACAGCTCAAGGCTGCAAAGTTAATTTCAGGCTTAAGCTGTATGTCCATCTCAGCTGGCAGGGGCCTGGATTTACCATAGTAATGTGGAGACTGGGGCAGATGGGGACTTTATCCTGCCGTGTGCTGAATCAAAGAAGAAATTACAACACACATCAATTTATTCCTCACTTCATTGACCAAAGCAATTCCCATTCAAGCTCACCATGACAGGGATGCTTAATGCACCGTGAGATGTGCCACAAATATTTCTGAAAGATGACACAGTGTGGAGAGCAATGATGGTGAATGGGAGAAAAGTGTCTGAAATTGTGGTCTCTGATGACCTCATGGTTGTGGCATGCTTGGTGCCTTGGGAAGTTTCAGTGAAAAGGTGCAAGATGCCTAGCTACTGTGGTAATGCCCTTCACAAGGAGGCTCTGTGCTAGGGTCTTATCAGCCTCGACCTTGATCTCAGGCACAAGGCTCCTGAGAATAGAGAAACTTTCTTGCTAGATAACCACAATGTTTCACAAGCTCCCTCCTGAACCTGCCCACCTAACAGTAACTTTAAAGGATGGACTTTCTAGAGAGCTACACAAAGCTCCTAACATTGCACATAACAACTATAGAATGTAACTGCAGAAAAGCTGCATAATGTTGCTAACTCTGAAACTTTCATGAAAACTTTCAAGAATAATGCTTGCATACTCTTTAATCTGATAATAAGTCATATATAAATAAAGATTGTTGACATAATTCTTTAGACCTACTTCTCCATCAGAGAGCAGTGCTCCACCTGACCCCAGCTGTATCTTCAAAAGCATCTATACATTTGTGAGTGTTTATTTTTCTTATCCATCTTCGCTCCTCACTAGAACCTGATGGATTGGCCATGCTGGTCATGGCCACACAGTTTATGGTGCTCTGAAAGGCAACTCTCCAGGCTTCCTCGCTTCCCCAGGAAGCTGCAGTCAACAGGTTGCAGCCCAAACTGTGCCCAGCCCAGGGACATAGGCATATGTCCATCAGTCAATCAGAATAGTTACCATTGGTGTGCTGGAACAGGATCTAGGAGGCTTACTGGATGGGCTGCTGACTAGGGAAGAGCCTTGGGACCTGGGCAAGGAGTCGTGGTGAGCCAGACCAGTAGCTTTGAGTAGCCACTGTATAACAATCCCTTTAGAAGTAGTTGGATATTCTAACAGCCAGTACAGATCTACAGCCTACCCCACCGAATGTCAGCCTAGGAGGGGACCTTGCAGGTCTCAGCTCACCTCTGCTTTCCTCTTGCTGCTTTCCGTAGGACACACTAGAGAGGTTCTTTCATGTTCTTCACGTTTTCTCATAAATTTGCTTAGTTGATAATATACTTAATCAGAGACATACAGAGAAAAGGAGTGTGAAAGAGGCAAAGACAAAGACCAGGAGATGCAGAGATGGTACAGGATAGCCAAGATGAGATGGAACAGAGAGACATTCAGGTTATTTGTATGGAGGACAAGAATATGAACAGAAGTGCTTCATATGTAAATATATGCAAATGAGCATGCAAATATCCAGGGAGAATGGGTGGGACAACCGGGTGCCCTTCCAGAACCCCCCATAATAACACAACCTCTCACGCCCCCAGGACAATGCATCTGTCTGGGAGAGAGCCTGGCCGGCTCTGAGATCTTCCTATTTTTGACCTCCATGCTTCAGAGCTTCTCTTTGGGTTGTCCCAAGGCCCCAGAAGACATCGAACTCACGCCAAAAGGGAACTGGCTGGGAAAGTTGCCCCTTGTGTTTCAACTCTGCTTCCTGCCCCGCCACAGAGAGAAAGAAGGCATGCAGATTTCCTCAGGATCCTTCCATTCAGCCCCCATCTCCAAAAAGAATGAGGCCTCTTGAGCTCCTCCTTGCTCCCTCTCTGCTGTGGAAAATAATTTCTGTAGTCTGTCCTCCATCCAGCATGCTATAGTCTATTTACTTCCAGATGGCCTTCAAAGTTGACCAAGGGAAAAGGGTCAAGAAATACCTTAAAGAACTTAATGTCATGACCCCTGGTTTTCTTCTGCTGCAAGACTAACAAAGTCCTTGATAGCTTTGCTTCTTCAGTCTGAATCTTCAATAAAGAATATTGGCAACTCAGTCTTGAGCTGACTTTTTATAAAAATGAATATGAGTAAGAAGTACACATTAGCTACTGTAAGCGATGGAAATTCTGGGATTTCTTGTTACTGCAGCATAACTTGGCATAAGCTCACTGATAGAATATTGCTGCAGGTGACACAATGAAAGAAGAAAGAAGGACCTGTGGCAGCTGTCATCTCCTGGGAATGAGTGTCACTTCTTGTCTCTCCTTGTATTTTCCATGTACTTCCCCCCAACACACATTTCTTACCTGTATTTTTTCTTTACTTTTCTTTCTGTGAATATGAAAATTTGTGGCGTTTTTTCCTACAATTTTGAGGTCAACACTATCTGACCATTTTTTCTCTTTTGTTTATCTGTTTCTAACTACTACTAATATTGCTTTTGTTTCTATAAAAAGGGTAATGATCCTTTGCTTCATATTCTGTTGACAAAAGCAAACCATGTATTAGTTTCATGTTACTGCATCCAAGATACTGAGGCAACTAATTTATAAACATAAAAGGAATTTTTAAAAATCTCATACTTTGGGGATTTAATGTCATGGAGACCTCAATGGCTCACATTCAGTGAGGACAGAGGATGGTGACACATCATTGCAGGAGTGCTTAAGGTCACATCTTGAGCCAGGAAAGAGGGGTTGGGGGGAGAGGGAGAGAAAGCTAGCAGGTGCAGCTAGCACTTCTTCAAGTGCAAGCCCCCAGTGACCCAAGGACCTCCCACAAAGCCCTATCTCCTAAAGATTCTGCTACCTCCTAATAGTGCCACCTGTGGATCAAGACTTGCACAATTAGGCCTCTGGGAAACACCAGAACCAATATCCAAACCATAGTGCAAGGCTGTGTAACTTCATAGTGAGAGGGGAGATGTAATTTTGACAGGTGTCTGGAGAGGAGAGCATGGGAATATTGGTGCATAACCTAGGAGATTAGCACAAGCTCTGCACAGTCTCTAGAAGTTCATCTCAGTATGCAAGCATCAGCAGGAGAACCACCCTTTTCTCACTATTTCTGGGTAAAGAGGGGACCAGTGTTAGTCTCCCTTCTTTAATCACCAATCTTTCAGAGGTGGCTGAGGCTGTTAGGAATCAGGATTTCTCTGTAACTTCAGTGGTCATTTGAGGACTTGAGGTTGGGGGTGGAGGGACTGCTATTCTAACTGGCTATAACAATAGTAAGGTTTCCCGCAGGGACTGGCACAGGAGAAAACACTTGGCCATCTGCAAAATCACTTTTTACTTTACAAATGCCTTGGCTTATGAACTACCTCATGGGTTACCAAATACTTGGCTGTTTACAAATCACATTCCACCCCTGCTCCCTGGGTACAAAGTATTCTATAATCCAGAAAGAGTTTTGTTACAAAAGTGTTTATCTTTTCCACATTCTTTTTTGCATGCCAAGTATTTAAAAACTTGAAGTATCTTAGATTTTGGATTTTAAGGTACAATGCGGGCAAGATGGTGGTTGAGTCAGAGCCTTCAGTGATCATCTCCTCCCAGACACACCAATGTGAACCTCTATTCATGAACTAAACCTCATGTGAGTTAAGGAAGCCGGGTGCCTAGAGACCATAGTGCCTGGGTTTAGTTAATGAAAAGAGGAATTGAAGAAAGTAGGAAGGAAATATCTGCCTGGGTCACCCCTCCCCTGTCTCCACGCAATGCAATGTGGAAAGAGATGCCTCTGCTTAGTGGAAGGAGAGGGTGTTAAGACGAAGACTCAAACTTGACACCCAGTACCAGGCTTAGTAGAATGGAACACCACATGAGGCAGAGCCCCACAACTCCTACCTCCAGGCTAATACCTGTGGACTGGGCCATTGGAGATGCTTAGCTGGGGGACTGATAACCTACACTACCTCTCCTCTAGCCTGGGACAGAAGAGGAGAGAGCAATAGTGCACCTGCCTGGGAGCAGGGCTACAAGCAATAGGCAAGCCATTAGGGCATGGGCTTCGGTTCTCCCCACTTCTGCTCTGGACTGGGTGGACTGTGAGCCTAGGGCATAACACAGCTTTGCAGTGTTGATGGCTATAGGTGTGGCACAGGAGCCTGGGATGGTCTTTTTGTGGTGAGTCTCTCCAGGGCTTGGGAGAATCCTGCAGGGTGCAGTAGAGGCTGGTGACTGTAGATGAGGCATCTGGGTCTACCCCAGCCCCGGGGAGAGGCTTGTGGAGATGGGCTATTTTAGACCCTGATCCAGTTCATGATGAAAAAGACATCAGCAGTGCCAAAATAGGAACAGCATGCTACCAGAACATTCCTGGCAAACCTGGACTTAGAGTGCCTTCTAGGGCCAAAATAAATATACTGAGTGCAGACTCAGAAATAAACAGCCTGCTTAAAATTTCTGGAAGGACGGACACAAACGAAGGCAGATGATGAAGGCTGGAATAAGTATGTAATTCTTCAGTGAGTGAAGAGGCTTCAGAACAGCAAGCAGCAGACATCTGGAAACCATGAACTTCCACAAAGCCACAACTCACCCAACAGTCACAATAAGTGCCAAACCAAGTTTATGCAGAATGGAGAATTTAAAGCAGCTGCTTTAAGGAAACTCAGTGAGCTTCAAGAAAACACAAATAATTGAACACTCAGAGAAATTTAACAGAGAAGAAAGCAATTAAAAACATTGAACAGCTGGGTGCAGTGGCACATGCCTGGAATCCCACTGGCTTGGGAGGCTTAGGTGGGAGGATCATGAGTTTAAAGCCAGACTCACCAACTCAGTGAGGCCCTATCTCAAAATAAAAGATATAAAAAGGCTGGGGATGTAGGTCAGTGATTAAGTGCTCCTGTACCCCCCAAAAAAAGAAGAAGAAGAGGAGGAGGAGGAGGAGGAGGAGGAGGAGGAAAAATGTGAAAGGGAACATGAGATTTTCAAATTGTAGAGAGGAATTGAGTGCAAGTGTAGAGATTTTTATTAGTGTACTTTGTTTCTTGTCTTTACAACTTGTTAAGTTATTATCATTTAAAATTACCATAATAAAAAGATGTTGTTTGGGTCTGTGGACATAACTTAGTGGTAGAGCACTTGCTTGGTATATGTGACAACTGAATTTGATCTCCAGAACCCCATCCCCTCACCCCCACAATTTTTTGTAAGTATTTTCCATCAGATGAATATCAGACAAATAAAATGAGTAAGTAGAGAATCAAACAAACACAGTAGAGCAAATCATTTAACTACAAAGGAAGACTGTAAGAGAGATAAAATAAATGAAGGAACTTCAATAAAACCAGGAAACAAAATACAAAATAGCTGTTGGAAGATTTTACTTATAGATAATTACTTTAAATGTAAATGGATTAAATGGTCCAATTAAAAGTCTCAGAGTGACAGAATACATAAAAAAACAAGACCCAAAGTTATGCTGCTTCCAAGAAACTCATCTCACTTCTAAGGACACATATAGGCTGAAAGTGAAGGGATGGAATAAAATATTTCACACAAATGGAGCCCACAAGAAAGCAGGAGTAGCTATATTTATAGCAGGTAAAATAGACTTTAATTCAAAAGTAATAAAAAGAAATAAGGAAAATATTATATAATGATAAAGGGATCAACTTGTCAAGAAGTAATTCCAAACATATTTGCACCCAATATTGGAACAAAAAAAGTATATAAAGCAAATATTAATAGACCTAAAGGGAGAGATAGGGTCTAATACAATAATAGTAGGAGACTTTAAACCTCACTTTCATCAATGGAGATGGCATCCAGAAAACAACAACAACAACAAAGAAACAGCAGAGTTAATTTAATCATAGGCCAAATGGACCTACTAAACATCTATAGGACAGTCTGTCCAACAATTGTAGAACACATATTTTTTCCTCACTAGCAAATGAGACATTCTTCAGGATAGGCTATATTATAGGTCACAAAACAAGCCACAATAAATATTGAAAATTTAAAATTAACTTTTGAGTATTTTTTCCTACTCTAATAAAGTAAAACTACACATCAATAACAAGAAAAACTTTAAAAACTATACAAATACATATAAAGTAAATGACTTACTTTTGAACACCAACAGATCAAGGAAGAAATAAAAAAGGTAATTAAAACTCTCTCTTGAAACAAATGAAAATGCATACACAATATTCCCCAAACCAATTTGGGACATAGTTAGGCTTAGATAAGGTAGTTATGTTGTGTGACCTGGGATAGGTGACTTTGCTGAGCATTATGGGGCCAAGGGTCCACTTCAGGCTATTTTGATAGGGAGTGTATGAGTTAATGCATTTTTACTACCTAGCAGTAAGTGATCAATAAATATTCACGACATCATTCATTTACTGTTGTTAGATCCTATCAATGTTTAGGATAAAAGAGATGGATGGGAATTTCTCTAACCCCTATATTGCCTTTTCACATTCTCAGACCCAAACTTTCCAAAATGTTTTTAGTGGGAAAGAGAGGAAAAGAGAGATTTTATGGAAACTTCCTTCCCTCCCACCTCCCCATCCATTCTTCTGCACAGCCAAGCTTTATCTCTAGGGGCTGTTAACAGGAGATCAATGTTCTCCACTGCCAGAAGGGGGAAGTGGGGAGGGAGGGAGGGAGAGGAGAGAGAAGACGACAGGAGAGGAGAGGAGAGGAGAGTCATCATGATGTTCTTCAGTTCCATCCATTTGCAAGCAGATAACCATAATTTCATTTTTTATGACTTAGTAAAATGTCATTGTCTATATAGACATCACATTTTCTTTCCATTCATCTCTTGGAAGGCACTTGGGATCATTCTATAACT